CAGCTTGATATCTTTTAGCCTGTATCACTGAACTTTGGTATCAGATGTTCAGACTTTTCTCCAGTTCCATTTATTTATATATAATTTCATATTTAATTCAGATGATTATGATGATCTTCAATAAGGTAACCTGATATTTTCACAAATAAACATCTTAAATATAGGCTAAATAAAATGATGCATGAAGTATGGAGTGTAGCCATTTTAAACACAGCTATGGAGATGTGGGAAATGCTGCTTCCCCTGTGTATGCTTTTCCATTTGAAAGTCCTCCTGCCAATTTTTTTCCTCTCCTGGAGAGGACTGTGTGCCTAGGTGTAATCCATTGCTAGAAGAAAGGTGGCTGGGGAAGAGTGTTTTCACTGAGGAAGTTACAAACTGAAGAGTTCCATTACTTTCTCCCATCCATCATGCTATGTTTTAACCTTTACCTTCTTTGTAAGAAATAGATATAATTCAAATGATACCTTGCAACCCTCATATCTTCTTATGCTGTGATATTATTAGGAACATGATACAGTGTGAGGCTTCCCCACTGGATTTATTCCTTTCTATATGTCTGCAATTGGTTTTACCATTTTATGTATTTTATGGCTTTATGTTTTTATAAAATCTACTTCCCCCCCCCCACCCCATACAATAAGATTTGTGCCAGGTGAGGGCAGTCATTTTCGCCTCAAGGGTGTGGATCAGGAGCTGCACTTTCAGCATCAATGTGCCCACCATTTACATCCATGCACCCCATTTACACACTATATATTTATTGCAACTCCAGCAATTTCAGACCATATGTAATGTGGACATATTCCAGTGAGGAGTAAATGACCGTGACTACTTGGGACTGTTTCTTCAATGGGAGTGTGTTTGAACCAAGTATGAATGTGAATCTGAGACAGAATATCTCATGTCTTTGAGATAATCTGATGTGTATGTCTACCGGTTCATGTTCTGTACCAAACAGGAGCATAATCTTGACAAAAGGCCACCAGTGGATCTCGTGTGAATTTTTGGTGGCCTTTCATCACTTACACAGCACGTTTGGCTTAGAATAATAGGCCACAGAGGTAGAAAAATCCACAAAATAGTAAAACAGTACCTTTTCCAGGTTCAATCACTAGGGTTCATATTGCATAGACAAACTGTTTGAACTGGCTATGGCTAATTGGTGGTAAATTCAAGATAGATGTATTCATATGGCCAAGATAGATGCAACACAGAGGCAGTATCACAGCTCTCTCTGTAGAGGCATGAGTTATGTTAATACAAAAATAGTGAAATGCTGGGTTGCCACACATTTTCAATTACTCTGCAGTCTGTCCACGTAAGGCTTGCAACAGAGGTTTTGAAACTTTGTCAGGCCATGGAAACTCTTAGTTTAAAACACAATTCCCAGAACCCCTGATCAAGAGGCAAAGCCCTAGTTATAGTATATTAACTGTGTTCAAGTGAAATGTTGGGGGGGGGGGCTCTTTGTTTGCCCTAGGCTTCTGCCAAACATAGTTTGAAAAACCCTGGCTTACAATACAAATTGAATGATGATGAAGAACCCTAGTTTCAAGAGAATTTTCTTACCTGTAGCACAGTTTGGCCCAGCATAGGGCCGGTAGCAATCACATTGATAGTTCAGCCATAAGTTGTTGCAACGCCCCTTATTTTGACAAGGGTGGTATTCACACCAATCTTTTTTAACACAGCCTGATTTGACATTTAAAAATGTGTCAGATGATAAGTTCTCTGGGACAATAATGTTGAAATCTACTTCTATGTCCTGAAGGCAGCCTACAAATGAAGGTGCAGAATGCATACTATAGATGTTTAGTAGAGAGTCATTGTTCCCTGCTGGCAAGCCACCCAAAAATATGTTTTGAAAAGCAGTCACTGCCTGCCTGGTATCTACTATGGCAGCAGTTTTACTAAGACATGATTCTGTGCACGAGCTCTTGAGTAACTTAAGTGTAACTGCTCTGGCTATGGCGACCTCTACTGAATGCCATTCACCATCATTGACATTATAGGCTATATGTAGAAAGGCCTTTAACTGATTGTTGACTTGCATGGATAAGTATAAACAGCCATTCTGTAACTCCAGCTTCACAAATGTGTCTTTGTCCCCTCGGTAAAATATCAAAGTTGTTGGCTGAACAGTCAAAAAACTAAGGTTTATGTTATAAAAATAGTCCTTGGAGGAGGCTGCAGTGCTGTTTACCTGAAGATATCCATTTCCCTGAAAAGACAATGTAGTCATGGTTTCACAGTGTACTCCTCTGTAGCCAGATGAACATATGCAGTTAAATCTGTGTTGTCCATTTCTTAAATAAGGAATACACAATCCCCCGTTCTGGCATTTATGTTGAACACAGCCAAAGAGGATTTCTGTACAATTTTGACCACCATAAAAGATCCCATCCTTCTCTCCAGTGAGACAGTGGCAGGTATAATTTCCAAGAGAATTTTCACAGGTCCCTCCATTCTGACAAGGGTTCATGCGGCATTCATTGATATCATCTTCACAGTGAATGCCTGCAAGAAATTGGAGTTGTATTGTTTATTTGACATATCCAACCTCTTGGCATATATATCCAAAGCAACATCCTCTAATATATATCAATAGTTTCATTATTAGTATTATAATTCTATAATAATTAGTATAATGAACATGATTTTTGAAGGCAAAATGTTAAAAGAAAAGAAGCCTACACATTCATCTGGAGCATAGTGATTTATCCTCAGCTGGAGCTTTAAGAAGAAAAGAAGAGTGATTCCGTAGCTCTGTTCCTTGTTGCTAACCCTTGGCTTTTTCTGAAGTCATTAATACCAGTGTCTAGGAAACTGCAGAAATATGGAACAACTGCCCTCTGATTCTGAGCTCTTCTTTGATAATGGAATAGTTACATTCTCAAACTAAGAAGGCAGAAAAAAGGTAATGGAGGCTTTATCTCAATTAGCATAATTATTGGCTCCTATACTCTTCAAGCTTTGTTTAGGCTTTTGATACTTTGCATATAATACTTAGACATAGTTCAATTCTCTATGACTTCAGGCCCAACCACAATATATATAAAAGGATAGCAGGGGCTAAAGACATTGGGGGAAAAGAAGCTGGTGGCCACTATAGAGTCATCCAGTCTATTTAAAGGGAAACAAAAAGTATGCTGGCCCATCCAGATTTCATTAAATGTGATGTTTCATACTGAGCAGGATGATTCAGGCAGAGCACCTTATTGAGAATCCATACCACTTAGTAATTGTTTAGTAATCTTGCACAGGAAGGATCCATCTGCAAGGGAAGAGTCAGAATGTAGTTATCCAGATAGATGCATCAGAGATGCTGCAGTTCTGTTTAGCATCAATATGGGAGATAGCATGGGGCTGGTTCTGCCACCAAACAGTTCTCACTTTAAGAAGGAGGCAAGGAGGCATCTTGGAAGTGCCAAGATGCAGTGAGAATAAAGGAAAGATGCCCCTCACATTTTCATTCTAGGAATGCTCTCTATGGGTGTCAGCTGCTGTTTTCAAAGACTTTGGCATCACTGTGTAATTAACTGCTCTTCAGTCTTCAGTAAATCTAGTCTTCTCAATCTATAGTATCCCACATTGGAGTTCATGAGTCTAACCCAGCATACCAAACAGAAATATTGGTGGCCAACTCTTGCTTTCTTGCCTTTCAATAAAGTAAAGGTTATATGTTAGCAAAGATAATAGCTAAAATCACTCTTGCTATCTGATACCTTTTTTTTTTTTACTGCAAATGCTGAGATAGTGTTTTATCTTTTCTTGCAGAACAAACAAAATTCATCCTTGACACAAAGGATTCTGTCCACCTACAGTTAGCCATGGACGTGCTATTTCATTTAAGCCAATACTTCACCACCCAGGCACCCACAGACTTCAAGGGCAAGCTGACAGTCACGTGCCACAGTCAAGGACCTGATTTTAGCGTGAAACCAGCCATACAGAGTGACATACAAATAAGCAGTTTCAGTTCACCTGGTCATGTCTATGCTGGGCTTTAATGTCCCCCCCGCCCCTCGGGTCAAACTCACATTTTGGAAATCTCTTATAGTTCATAAGAGTTAGTGGGGATCTCTGCCTACAGTTAGCAAGGCAAATTCATTTGGGGGCTGTTTTACCCATCTTCTTGCATCTTTCTAGAGGAAGCTGCACAAAAGAAGTGTCTCTGTGTTAGGAAGGAAACATTATTTTATCCATTTTATATTCATTTCTGCAGGTGCAAATGACTTGCTTGAGTTACAAGGCAGCAATGAATGGTACTGCATATTATTTAAAATGAATTTTAACATGGTTTGTTTAAAAATATGTCTAACAGAAAACAGTTCCAGGAACACATTCATTTGTCAATTCAGTACATTTCCTTTCCACCTTTTAAATTAAGTGACACGCTTCTCAATTACGAGAAGTAATCAAACGTGCCAATGCAGTGAAAGACATTTGCTAAGACAGGAGTTAATATGAAGTAACAGTAAGGTTTGTTGTTCCCTTTAAACAGCCTGCACATAAGAGAATGCTTTAAAAACCAAGAAAACAAAAATCCTCTACCCTCAATGAATAGAACAAGTGCTTTAATAATTCTAAGACAAATGGAGAAAATGTAAGAATTTTTGTCTTGGCTCTGAAAGTCTCATTTGGGTCTTCATCATTTATATTCTGGTGTAACAAAACTTAAAAGGAACTTTATAGAGACTGATCTCTCTAAATGCCATTAGATCAATCCTGGTACACTTTCTCTATAGAATAATGCTTTATTCCTTGACTTTTGCATGCAAGGGAATTTGTACTTCACTGGTAGACTACATAGTTAATATACAGAAGTTCAAGCTCAAACATTTCCAAGTATGGCTACTAAAATATTT